TCTTGGCTTCGAATGCCATTCTGTACTGAAATAAACTAGGACCTCTTGAAACAGTAGAGGATTCCTAGACTGGGGAAACGAAGCGCAGGGTCACTAGAACGTCTTCCTGTTGCAGGAAGGAAAGGCCCACTCACAAATGCTCATAACATGCCGAGGAAACACAGGGACCTACTCAGAAAGGCTCCCGCTGGCCAAATCTGTACATTCGGAACAAGAGACTAAATCAGAGTGAAAGATTGTAACTCACTAGAAAACACAGACACCCACTGAGCTCCTACTGATGTAGGCTAATTAAGAAGAGGAAAAATTCTTCTTGGCAGAATGCCAGCTCACAAAATAGAAGGATTGATGGAGTTCAAAAATGACTCTTCGGCCACTCTATCAGAATCATACAGAAATATCAAATTTAATTTGTAAGTTTTTCATTTCAATATGTAGCATAAACACTAACAGGCATAGAGCTCTGGATCGAAGGGAAAACGGTATTTTTAATCACTCTGATGAATTTCCTTGAAAATTAAAAGTTAATTTTCCCATGGCTCCAAGGGTCCACCCTATGAATAGCTAAAGCTGATTATTTTGGTGTGTCTAGATGTTCTCTTGGTTCTATAAAGTGGTATGTGTTATTTTTTGCACCTTTAATCTAGAAATACAAGCTCTCACTCTTTTGCTCTATGTCAAGCACTTAGCTAGGCATATTTTAAATTTTTTAATCTTCATGAAAACACTTGTACATGAGGTATGTTAGCCTACATTAAATAGCTGAACTTCAGAGAGTTAATGAAATTCTTCATGTCACGTAGGTAGGAAAAGCTTCTTTAGGCTGGAGACCCAGCTGAGCTTACTAATTCTAGAATCCACGATTTGCCAGCTATACCAGCACAGCGTTTATGGAGTGTGGACCTTAGGGTATTTTATTAGAGGAGAGGAACATTGAAGAATTGAGTTTGAAAGTCAGCCAAACAACGACAAGTTTCTTACAATTCTGAGGGCTTTGACAATTCTCGTGTTATCTGGAACCTTCACCCTAATTTCGCCTCATGATGCCCCACCGATGGCACCCTCTCCAGGGTTGGAAGAGCACTCGACTCCATTGCTCAAACACAATGTGAGGAAGTTGGCTCAGCTCTGGGGACCGTGACATGAAAATGCACGTCTTGGGCTCCTCGAGCCACCCTCTGGGCAGGAAGATGCTTACACCTAGAGACGTGCAGGAGGCACGAGACAGGATCTGGACCGCCTACTCCACCTTGCTCTGATTCGGAGTTGTGGCAGGCCCCGCGGCACAGTCTCCTGCTGCACCAGACACCAGCCATTCTGCGCGCCCGAGCCAGATGTGCATACACTGCAGCTTCCCTCCATCACCCGCCTGGAAGCGGCTTTGCTGTCGTCTATCCCTTCCTCCTCCCCAGAGGAGCAGCAACACACCGTCAAGTCACTTGGTCTTCAATCTTTCTTTCCCCCTTCTCTTCTTTTCTTTCATCTCACTTATTCATAAGAATTATTTAAACACCACGAAAATTAAATGCACTGCGTCTCTGACATAGCATTGCAAACTGATTTCCTTTAAATATTCAGGGCAGGGCCGACCAGATAGCTCAGTGGACTAAAGCGCCTGTTGAGGCAGGCGCGGGGACCAGGGTTTGATCCCTGGAATGCTGTGCTGGCCCCCCCCTCGGGGCATGCTGAGACATCAATTGAGACTGGGATGGTGGCACATGCCTGTAATCCCAGCACTTGGGAGGCTGAAAACAAGAGGGTCATTATGAGTCCAATCCATGTAGTGAGACCCTGTAGACCCTGCACTAAATTTTATATATATATATATATATATATATATATATATATATATATATATTCAGGGGATTTTATTCAGACTAACTGAGCCTTCCTGGAGACAGAATGGGGGCTGGGGGATGTATAATAATAAGCTACAGGCCCGGAAGAGCACATGTGATTGACGGGGAGCACAGCAGCTCTGAGGTGCTAAGCCTTCCTCCTGTGGCCAGCTTACATGGTCCACTGGTGAACAGGACCTCAGAGAGGAGACTTTGCAACGTGGCATGGGGCCCAGTTCAGCCACATACCAGCGGGATGACCCGGCGACATTTGCCTCATTTTATTGGTCATTATAACTGGTTGTTGTGAACGTTACTGAGAAGAACAAAGGAAGGAGGATGTTAATGTGCTCCTGTTATGCTCTGGAAGCCAGGGAACAGGGGCACAGTGGTAAATCCCACGTCCCTTCTGTCACTGCACCTTACAGTCTCGCGGAGGGAAAGGAAGCTGAATTGGCTTGTGTCAGTCGAGTAGCCACACAGGGCACAGAACCTTGTCCCAATGGGGAGCACTGAAGGACAGCTTCGAGTCCGGATTGCACAGGGACTGGGGCCCTCCGAGCAGGTCTCGCTTGGGTCTTTCCCCTGCCTGTTTCCCCAGGAGTGACTTGTGAGGAGCTACCAGGCCCACTGCACCAGAGCGGGGCTGAGACCTCCCAAATTCCCAGGCAGCAAGTGCTCAGTAGAGTCCGTCCATACAGGGCCGTCTACAGATGTCGGTTATCACTGTCACCAGGGTTACAGCCACTCTGAGGGCAGCATCCACTCTAGTGAGTTGCTTCGGGAGGTGGGGGCAGTGCACAGCGACCCTGTCTGGTCCCCCCACCTTGGCCTCTGAGTGCACAGTGGAGCCTGCAACGTAGGGCGGTGGAAGAAGGCACAGCCTCTGGTCCTGAGGGCAGACTGCACTGCAGCGTGCACCCCAGAGCGCCCAGGATCTCACCGAGGCCTTAACTGGACCCCACATCCCATCCTCGCTCAGCTCCTTTCCGTACCCCATTGTGTGGCCCCACAGCCAGGCAGATTGCTCCGGGAGCCACAGCTTTCATGGGTCAGTCTCTGCCCAGTGCAGGTCGTCACGGAAGTCTTCCTCTGGAAGTCAGAGCAGCGGGCTGTGGCCCTGAGCGCACAGCAGGCAGAGCGAGAGGTGGGGGGGTGTGTGCTCAGAGCAAGGGCGGCAGGGGCCAGCACGCGGGGAAGGGCAGCACTGGAGGGACAGAGGTGACTGGCAAAGCCAGTGGCAGGAGCTGGGCAGCTCTGGGGATAGCCGAGAGAGCTGAGGTTAGGGGTGGGTGTGGCCTGACTTCCCCCAGGCTGGGGAAGTCGGGAGGGCCTGCCTGCATCTTTACTGGAGTAGTGGGAAGCCGCAGAGCAGGGCGAGGCGGTTACCTTTGGGTTCTGACAACACATGAAGCAGGTGGTGTGCATAGGTTGCCCGAGGCGGTGGGAAGCACGAGTCAGTGAGCCCCAGAGCGAGCGCCGCGGGGGTCCAGAGAGAGATATCAGCTACCGCAGCCAGGGCAGCCTCAGTGGTGGGGGTCAGTAGCGAATGGACCTTAAGATATTTAAGGGCCTAGGGAGATAGCTCAGTAGAATAAGCGCTTGCTTGGCAAGAGCAGGGTCCTGAGTTCAATCCCCAGTACTGGAGGTGGTGGAGGTGGTGGTGAGATATTTAAGCATTTGCAACTAGAAAATTATTTAGTGACTCATTTTTATTTAGTTTTTTATTGTCTTTTTGAGACAGGGTCTTGCTTTGCAGTTCAGGCTGGACTTGAGCTCCTTCTGTGGCCCAGGCTGGTCTCGAACTTGCAACAATCCTCCCGCCTCAGCTTCCTGAGTGCTGGATTAGAGGCTCGTGCCACCACCTGGCTATTCTGTGATTCAGAGGCTAATTTTTCAGTGAAACTTCTGTAGAAGTCTACATTTTTTTTTATAGAAAAATATAAAGTTGTGATGTAGAAAGACTTATAAAATGACCCCATAAGAAAATTTTGTAGCAGTGAGACAAAGATAGAAATTTAAAAATTTTGACACAATAATTGCAGTAAAAGGGAAAAATCTCTTACGTTTCTAAAACGTTTATTTTCACTTTCAAAGAATTGAAAGGTATTCAAATAAAATCTGACAACACACTTGGATTTGTAATTCTAAACCTAATTTTACATCAGAAAAGCATACACTGATTTTATGAAATGTATATATTCTTTTAGATATAAAGATATAAATGTACAATTTAAAATTCTAAAAATATGATCTAAACATGGGGACAATTATAAAAATAGAGAGATGTACAATATGCTTAAGAACAATAGTTGTAAAAATATACACAAAAAGCTCATGTAAACAACGCTGAAGTGCTGCGTAGCTCTGTTACATCTTCCACTTATGAAACCATATTTTCTTAGATTTTACATCACATAGAATGGCCCGTAATCATTAACAATTGCCTACTTTTCTGCTTTCCATATAATAGAAGGGAAAGATAAGGGATAGGAAGTCATTTTGTTAAAATCACTGTAAATATTTTTAATCTGTGGCTGAACTTCAGAATATTACCCAGCAGTATAAACCCTAAATTTGTATATTTATATGAAAAGTGACAGAAACAAGTTGTCACTGAGACGCATGCGCCCGTGCATGCGCACACACCGCATTCACCCACATTCTAGTGCCATATAGGACAAACACTAATAAAAAGACTGAGGGTACTTCAATCAACTTGAGTAAATCATTAAGGCATTCTTATAGAAGAACTTCTGGCTTAGTTAAACTGCTTCTTAAAATAGAGCTATTTTGTAGGCCGGGGAGATGGCACGGTAGAATAAGCGCTTCCCTGGCGAGCGCAAGGGTCTGAGTTCAATCCCCGGTTCCAAAAAAAAAAAAAAAGAAAAAAAAACCTCTTTTTTGAGCTGTTCTCTAATTTTTCAATAGCATCGCCACTGGATGGCAAGGAAAGTGGTTTTAGGAGAGCACACGCACTTTACCCTTTGAACTTTGATTACTAAGCAGGTATTGCCCCAAATGTCACAGTAAACAGAGCCGTTGTTGTTGTTGTCCTGAACTTGAAAGGCCTTCCAGGCCTCTCACTGAGAACCGTAAACTTACTCCCCCCGAGGTGCGCAGAATTGGGGGGGCAGCTGGGGAGGAGGGGGGGAGGGGGCTGAGCGGAAGGCGGGCGCAGGACCAGCTGCAGCCTTCCCCCTCGGTGCTCCTCACGCGCTGTCCACTGTCGCGCTCCAGGTGTAGCAGTTTGCTTTTCAGCAATGTAGCAGCCACAGGCACCATGCTTGTAGGAAGCTAAAGGTTGCTGTTCTTGATTTGGGTGAGGAAAAAAAAAAAAAACCTGAAAAATAAAGTATACCCCAATTACACATCAAACAGGTGTATTTAAGTTTTCTTTTCTTTTTTCTTTACTTTTCTTTCTTTCTTTCTTTCTTTCTTTCTTTTTTTTTTTTTTTTTTGTGCAGGGTCTCACTATGCAGGTTGGACTGGTAGATAGTCTCCTGACTTCTGCCTCCCTAGTTCTGGGATTACAGGCATGAGCCACCGCTTCCGGACTTCATTGTCAGCTGGGCGCGCCTGGGGGCAGGGCCTGGGCAGCATGCAGTGCCAGGGATTGAACCCCAGCCCCTGTGCACATGGTCCGCTGAGCTATACCACCAGCCAGACCTCCAGCAGGTATATTTAAATGAGACAAATTTTTAGCAAAACAATGAATGCCTAAACCTGAATTGTCACTGGCTCTGGCCGGAGGCATCGCTGACCATGATAAGCTCTCAGTCCTTGCTGACAGTGAGGGGTGTGGGGGGTGGGCCTCGCGGCGGAGGTGGGGTTCTTCCATTGTCCTGCCACACTCAACTTTGCTGGCTGAGATGCTCAGAGTGGGCAAATTTCCTAGTGGGGTTCTGGGCACTGGAGGAGTGAGAGCGTATTTATTTGCACCTCATTCCGAAACTTCATCTGAATTGTTTGCTTTTCTAAATAATGCACTTGGCACAAGATACTTGCAATGGGAAAGTCGCCAGCTCTCGGTACCGTCTGGGGGGGTGGCTAAGGCCCGGCAGGAGGGAACCCGGGCTCCCTGGAGAAGGCAGCTCCTCAGACGCTAGGTGATGTCGGGGGTTTCTGAACAGACTTGTGGCCAATTCTAATGGCTTTTCACTCCCTTAGGAGACAATAACTAGGCTTGTCATTTCACTCTGGAAATAATTTCTCAGGACAAGGCTTAAGTGACATTTTAGGCCCAGGTTAGTTGACAGAAAATAATTCTGTACAAATGAAATAAATAGCTGTTAGCATGTGGACATGGAAAGGATTGTGAGGAGGACAGAGGATTCGACTCTGTGTCACAAAGGTTCTGCACAGCTCACTGCAGAGAGAAAGCTATGCACTGCACTGAATCCCCGCTGAACACGAGCCCCCTCCCGTAAACCGTGACCACCAGCACCAAGCTGCTCCTGCCTGTGTTTATAAAGTTTTATTGGAACCCAGCTCTGCTCAGCGGAATGAGGCTTTCCAAGATGCTAATGCTCTGACTTCCAGAACATGTTAACAGGGTGCTTTACATCATAGCCCAGGGGACATTGCAGGTGTGCATGAGGGTCTACAGTGGGGAGAGTTCTGTGGGTGCCAGAGATGTGGGACACAGAGGGGAAGAGGACCGAAGCAGAGGACTCAGCTCATGCCTGTTGGCTTCACTCGGAGGAAACAGTATGGGGCACAGAGGAGCACTACAAGCTGAGCTTGGCCTTTGGCCAACAGGAGCAAAGGAACGGGGACTTCAGGCTGAAATGCACACAGAACTACATCCTGCCAACCCCAAGAGGCCTTCTCTAGAACCCACACGAAAGGACGCAGTCTTGTGGATATTTTAGTTCTAACTTAGGAAGACCCACATCAAATTTGTGGCCGATCAAAACAAAATATTGAATTTGTGCTGTTTGACTCATAAAGGTGTGTTTAGTAATGTGTCATAGCAACAACAGAGCCCGCACACCCACGCTGAGCTATATCTCTAGCCCCTTTTATCAATTTTGTTTTGAGACTGAATCTTGCTAAATTGCCTAGCTGAGTTTGAACATGCAGTCCGCCTGCCTCAGCCTCCCAGATGCTGGGATTACAGGCATGCAACACCACACCTGGCTCCATCCGTTCATCTTTGATGTCTACAGCTGCTTGCATTTAATGAGGCAGCCTTCATGGATGTAGCAGGGGTTCTGTGGCCCACAAAGCCTAAAATCTTTGGCCACTGGCCATTCACACACAGAGCCCTGCTATTCGCAGCAGCTAGCATTTAAGGACTACTTCCTTGGCACCAGGCTCTGGGCTATTTGGTGTTTGTGTCAGTGTTCTGTGTCAGATCCTATTTTTGTTCCCATTTTGCCAACGGACAAATGGAGGTAGAGGTTAGGTAATTCTCAAGGTCACTCGGGGAACTCAGACCTGTGTTGGCTGACTTCTGAGCCTGGCTTACCCCTTGGCCATTTATGGCCAGCCCTGGTTTACCTGCGGCTGTGATGAAGCCCCTGATGCTCACCTGAGGGTCTCATCTCCGGCAAAAAGCTACGGGCAGCTCCCGGCTGGGCACTAGGATGCCCAGGTGCAGCCTCTCGACGGGCTCGTTGTCGGTGGCTACAATGCGGTACCTGCGGACAACCTGGAAGCCAGGGACACGGAGAGGAAGAGTCACCCCCTTGTTCTCCTGCCCCGCGGCACAGCACAGAACACAGCTGCGGAAACCAGGAAGGACCTTACCCAGCAGACAGCCAAGTGGAGCTGGAGCTCAGCCAGTCGGCGACCGATACACATTCGCCTCCCGACGCCGAAGGGAAGGTGCGCAAAGGGATTTATTTTCTTCTTCTTCTGAAGCCAACGTTCAGGTCTAAACTGATCAGGATCTTCAAAGTTGTCTTCATCGCACCCCAATACGTAGGTATTTAGCATTAACACGGTCTAAGAACACATAGACACGCATGGCATTTAAAACAACCAGAAGAGAACATTTGAATAACAATGTGAAAATGAGGCACAATTCATAACACTGATGATTACTTTGAGTGCTTAAAATATGCACTTAAATATGTACAGAACCTTAAAAGTTCACTTTGCATTTTCACAGCACCCTCCTGCAGAATAGTCCCTTAGTCTCCCCATTTTATAGATGGGAAAGTTGAGGCCCACAGACACCTTGTAACTCGTTCAAGACCACACAAGTAAAAGGGTACTGAGTCCAGATGTCTGTCTCCACAGGCATTATGCTTAATTCTATTTTAAGTAAGGTGTCAATTACCCTTTCTATGGGTTTCCAGGACTAATGCTCCCCTGGTAAAAAGGTTTGGGGATATCTGGTAAATATTCAAAGAGTGCACCCTTCCGAGTCTTGTCAGGTGCAGAACGAACACATTCTACTCACCCCCTTGGGTAAAGCATATTCACCGAGAACCATCGCCTTATCCAGAGTCCGGGTGGTAAACGGCACACTTGGGGTGAGTCTGCAAGACAGCATCGGTGGGAAGGGCTGTCACAGAGCCAGCTCTGTCTGATTGTGCGCAGTGGATAAAAGCTGCATGGCTCAGGTTCAGGAAGGGAACCTGGTCACAGCTCTGCCTAGAGAAGAGTCTCTGCTGTTTACATATCTTACATATCTCATTCCCCTTTCTTTTTAATCTTTTCTATATGTATTTATTTGGTACAGGGTCTCACTATGCAGTTCGGACTCGTAGTGATCCTCATGTCTCAGCCTCCCCAGTGCGGGGATTACAGGCATGTGCCACCATATCTGGTTTCAGGGCTGACGTGGTATACGGTACCAGGGATTGAACCCAGGTCCTTGGGCTTACCAGGCAAGCACTTAGACCACTGGGCTATCTCCCCAGTCCTTATTCCCCTTTCTTCTCCGATCACATTGGCTGAATCCATAGCACAAGGCTGATTACAGCAGTAGGTGGTCATAGTGGTTTTCTTCTTTTTCTATCTCACCTTGAACCTTTTGGGTCTGTGTTTCTCGTACATACTTTTTATGAAATTAACATCATTACTTTGTAGCCCAAAGATGGGAGCTTTGTTTCCCAGAATCTGGAAAGAATTTTCAATAGATGTTTCATGGCTAAGGCCCCAATAAAGTTTTCTCTGCGTCTTCATACAGAATGAAGTGTTTCTCTCACTGAGCTTTTATCCCCTCCCCTGCAAAGCTGCTCTGGTCTTCAGTAGTGCTAGGACCGTGCATTAAGGCAGCAGTGACATTACAGAGGGGGACCTGCCTTCCCAGGACTGGACAGAATTTGTCTAGAAGACTTAGGAAATGAGTGACAGAAATCAGCGAGAGCTCCAGACCCTTTGTTCTCCTTTTGTAAATGTTTACAATCAACTGCAAGCGCTGCTCCAGACTGGGGCGCTCTATTCGTCTTGGCTTAGAGAGCAATTCTTACCTCATGGATTCCTTTAGGCAAGCTTTCAAATAGGGCATTTTCTGCAAATCCTCTGCTCGTGGCATCTGGTTCTCAGGCAAGACACTTTGAATTTCATTAAGAAGTTTTTGCTGCACTTGAGGATTCCGGGATAAATTGTAGAGAATCCACATTAAACTGTTGGCTGTCTGGAAACCAAACAGATGTAAACTTGAATTTTAGCAAAGAAAATGACTTCAGCGCTCTCAGCAAGACAGAAGGCGACAGCTCCCACTGTGACCTGCAGAGGTGACAGTGAACTTTCTCATGAGTCCTTACTTTCTGTGCCTTAAGCAAATCCAGTGTCTGAAGTCAGACTTAATGTGCAAAACATACCAGGTCAGGATAAATTATTTACTGTAGAAGTCAATATAAAATTTTTAAAATAATCAGTTGCATTAGGAGACCTTGAAAATATGGTTCAACCCAACTATTGCTGACACAGAGACTAGCCAATCAGCTGTGCCCATTTCCAGGTTGTCATGGTGTACTGCTGTGTGTCACCGTGGGGGACTAGGGTGAGGGTCCCTTTTTATTTGCTTCTTAGATTTCATGTGCGTCTGTGATTTTAAAACGTTAAGAAGCTTCATTAAAACCAGCTTCATGTAAAAACTAAAGATGGAAAAACAGAAAAGAAAGAGCTAAATATGCTCGGTGTTTTACAGACAGAGATTTTTACAAGTATTTTGCTGTGCAAAAGCAGAAGGAGCTTCGTTTCTGGGATTCAAAAGTTCCCTTGGGCGCAACCTAAAAGCTTAACGTGCAACTGACGAGGCCTGCAGGGCTCCAGCCGCGGCAGAAGAGCGCAGGAGAAAGTGGCAACGCCGCCGCCGCCGCCGGAAGAAGGAATGCTAGCACTCAGGGAAGAATCTGGAGGGCTGGCTGCAGTGTCCGACAGTCTCCTGGACTCTCGGGGCACCCTTTATATGCTTTTCCAAGGCAAGGAGAAGAAAAACACGTGGGTGGAGCAAGCCATTGTACGTTTGAGCTGCATTCTGCTCGCCACAAGGAGTCGCAGGCTTTGTTTTCAGGCCTTTGCTAACTGAAGCCAAATATTGAGCTGCGAAAGGTCCTCGCCTCCTCGCTGTGCAGGCGCCAAGGCGGGGCTGTGCACCAGGTGCCACTGTCAGGAGAGACCAACGTGCAAGGCCAGCTAGAGCCGATGGTTATTTATTATTTTTGGAAGACAGTGCCCCCAAAGCAGGCTTCTTTATGTCAGGACTGTGGCCTCCGCTGCAAATAAACTGTGGGTGGCACTATTACACGAATGCCATTGACCAAACAGGAAGAGGGCGCAGCCACCAAGTTAGAGACGCTTTCCAATTTCTCCAAATGTGAATTTCAGAATAGCAGTGGCTAAAAAAGAGCAATGGGCGAAGTGTCTGCCCGTATCAGTAAGTTCCTGGCCACAAGCACCAAACCAAGATTCCCCAGGGCAGAGCACTACAGCCTACACAGCGGCCGGGACCTCGGGGGGCGGCTGCAGGGGCAGGCGTCCTGGCCTGACCTCCGGGAAGGAGACTGGTCTCCTGCCCTGCCCCGTGCTTGCGCTTCCTCAGCTCAGCTCATTCTCTCTCCACTGCCCAGAGTGCTGCTGGCCAGCCGCAGTGGATCGTGACTCTCCTCCTTCACGCTTCCCACTAGAGGTGTGAAAAAGCCCCAGTGCCTTATCAAGTGTCATAGAGCTGGCTGGGGACATAGCTCAGTGGCCCAAGAGACTGCCTGGCAAGTGAAGTCCTGAGTTGAATTCCTGACATTAAAAAATGTTGCAAAATGCCCCAGCTAATCTGGCCCATTCACTCTTACAGTAGTGGGGATCAATCTTGGGACCTTGTGTTTGCCAGGCAGGCACTTAGGCCGCTGAGCCGTATCGCCGGCCCACCCATTCACTTCCATAATCTCAATTCTGGCTACTTTTGTTAGTTCACACTCCATCTCCCTGTCTGCCCCAGGGTCTTTGCATGCCTGCTGTCCTCTGCCCCAGGTGCGGCCACCAGGCGTTCCCAGTGCCAGTTCCATCTTTCCATCCAGCCACCACCAGTATTGCTCTGCAGAGGGGGACCCTTCCCCACACCCTGCTCCACCTGTCACCTGTCCTCCAGAGCACACACCACTTTCTGCAGCTGTCTCATCTGATGGTTTACGGGTCTTTCCCAGCATGCAAGTTTCATGGAGTGGAAGACTTTATCTCCAGCTTAGGGAGGGTTCTTGACCTGGAAGGGTCCTTGGTGCACAGGAGGTGCTCGTTGGTTCCTGATTTCTTTCATGTGTTCACTAAGTGCTGACCAGCTGTTTACGATATACGACACATGCCGAGTTCACCTGGGATTACAGTGAGGCTGCTGTGTGCCCAGCACTCACGTGCCAGTGGAAACAGGTGAAGCTTCTACCTTCCCCACTCAGGAGCCTCTCAGGGTTCTCAACGCAATAGGAAGTTTAGCTACCTAGGGAGCCTTGCTGCCTTTCCCAGGCTCCTGGAGCAAGAGGAGAGCTGGGGGGGAGGGGAGGGGATGCTGTTCCTGGGAGTAGAAAATCGTTCACGAGAGACATTCTGAAAAGGGAACACTAGGCAAGAAAATGAACTGGTCTGCATGCTTCATAGGGACTTTAAAGTACGCGGAATGTTGGGCCAGTGGGGAGCATTCGTACACAACACTCCAGTGATAACTTAGAACAATGAACGATGGGAACAGCTAAACACGAATATCCATACTGGTGTCTGTGTCTGGGATTGCACCATACCAGTTATCTACTGATCAACCATGTTGGAGACAGAATTTTGTTATTTAAAGTTAGTCATTTCATATTACCTAAAGCCAAGCCTCGTCGTATTTATACTTCTAAGCAGGAAACAAGATTGGGCTAGAAGACCACACTTCCATATATTTCTAGTAAAGCTCACCAACCACAGGTGGGCCTTTTGGAGGTAACACATGCAAGGGCCTCAAATATACCCCGTTTGAAAAACGTAAGTTATTTTGCTGAGCTACGGAACTGTGCCGCTTCCGAATTTCTGCCGTAGTGTGCTGGCCGTCACGGCGCTCGCCATGTCCGGTATGGGCTTCCCATACTGAACACAGAGAACCTCCTACACACGAGGTTGGGCACTGCTCTTCTAGACGGATCTTTGCCAGTTTCTGTCTCAGCGAATCCAGGTGAGCGATGACTTCAAATACACCAGAAAGCACTGCCCCAAGAGCAGACTCAAGGCTAGCCTTACCGTTTCTATCCCAGCTAGCTGGATCTCCGTGATGGCGGCATACAATTCTTTCTTGGAAAGCTGACTGCGGGCATAAATATCACCAAGGAAATCTGCGGCAGGCTGCTGCTCAGAGTATTTCTCTAACCGGCTGTTGATGCAAGACTTGACTGTCAGAGAAAGGGAAAAAGGGAGAGGAGGTCACTTGAAAATTAAGAGAAGGAAAGGAAACAAATCTTTCTTGTGGCATCTAGAGAATCTTAGGAACACTGGTGTTTTGCTAAATAAGCTAATAATGCTTCTTTGGTCACCTGGCAAGGATCGGTCCAGGCCCACATGGACGAGGCTTCTCACAATCCCTTAACTGGCAGATTCTGAGCCAGGGGTTGGAGCCCGGGAGTTTACATTTCTAACAAGCCCCCAAGTGACACAGATGATGGGGATCTAGGTCACCTTTTGAGTAGTAAGAGCTGAGTTTGGAAGAGGTCTGTATGAGGGAATGTGGAAGTTGGGTTCACGTTCAGGATCCAAGCTTACTAAACACAGCGGTTCAACACATTGCCACTCAACACACATGCACACACAAACACAGGGACACATACAGGTACACACCTGTTCAAAATGCTCATGTGTGTGTGCTAATGATAGACATTTTAGCATTTATGAAACTCATTCTAAGCATGTGTCTCCCTCCCTCGTGCCCCTAGTAACTGCCAGATGTAAGAATAATGACGGTGAGAATGATAAGGGTCATCACACACAGTAGGGCATCATCAGCATGCGAGTCACAATGCCCCTCTGCTGGCCTCCAGCCCAGGCCTTGCTGCCCGCTGGATGGAGGACCCACTGAACAAGAGAACAGTGAGGGCAGGTGAGGCAGCGAGAAGCTGCTGGGGACCGGCGTTGTCGATCTCTAATTTTCGAGGCTGATTGTTTTTGGCGAGGTCTTATTTTGGGGGAAACTGGCTAGCAGAAGTAGCTCTACCCGCTGAGCTATGGCGGCAGGTCAGGTACCTTGTATTTTCTAAGATCAGTGGCATTATTATTTTTCATC